AATTAACAATCACGTTGATGAACACATTAATTCTCGCGACGTACTTTTCGAGGAGACACAATTTATATAGGTACGTGGGAAAGTTACAAGAACCATCATAGTGATATTATTAAATTAGAAGGTAAAATACGTCAAAATACTTGGCTTTGCCAGCTCCGCCGATACTGTAGAAATTATTGTATCTTGCAGAACATTACTCAACAATGACCATTAAAGGTAGGTTCACAAAACTATCTTACCCGTTACTTTTGTAAGCACAAGAGTGGTTTCGTTTAGTTACTTTTTCATATTTAGTGCCACTTTACAATGGCTCGCTTAATGCATTAAACAGACACAGGTTTATCAATCACACATACATTATTTGATGGGAATGAATTTAGGTATTGTTACCACAACTTTCTCCTCTATTTAAATAGACCTTTGAATTTAATTTAGTAGCACAATTTCGTTATCCTAATTAAGAAATATCCTTGTTATTAAAGATGAGTTATATTTTTACTTGTCATATAATTTCTTCACTTGTTAAAGGAAAAGTCAAAGATGAAATCGTTCAAAGGCTGTTGAGTTAATTAGTAAAGCCTTTGAAATGTTGGAAAAGGGATTTTCCGTTATTAATAGGTCACATTATAACAAAAATAGCAAAATTCTTTTAAATATTTCCCTTCGATGATTGATCATGAGGCTAAACGGCAACTGCTGATCCAGTATTGGTGCAGTTTCGTCTCTGTTCGGGCAATCCTTGTAAAAATGTTGTTTCGTGAAGGCTTCATAGCCAAGTAATATTCTATATCCCTCTAACTTTAGAATTTTATTAATTTGATCATAAAACCGCCAAAGAACTTGAATTTTTTATCAACTTGTAAATCTTCATTGTAAGCTTATAATAATAAATTCATCGTTCAAAGCCAGAAAATAGATCGAGCAATAATTAACACCACTATCTATATCAGATCAAGATATACATTTTATAAAAAATTATCGAAGCATCTCTTTCACTGATCACCAATGCTGTAACGGGATCAACTTGTACGTAATTTTTTCATTGCCCGTTTTTTTTTTTTTTTTTTTTGAAAAACGTTACCATTAACGAATGAAGGAAACGTTATTACGTATGGAAAGCATCAAATTTTATTTGAGTGATCATCATATAAAGATAATACGAAGTGATTTTTTTTTATCCGCAAATCTTACTCTTTGTTATAACGTGAAAATAAATGTAACAGTAAGAATGAATCCTTTGGAAAAAGTGATAATTCAATAAATGCGCCGAAATTGATAATTGCATGGCCGCAGTTTTTAGGGTCAGATTTCACCGCAGAGATCATCAAATCCCAGTTATAATTATCGTAATGAATTATATATATTTTTTTTATTACTGATTTATCATTCTCAAATTTAATTTGCAAATATGACGCGAAATAATAACCACCGAAATCGAAAAAGAGACTTAATAATAAGTTCAGGTAAGAATGAAATTATTAGCTCAATATAATTTTACAAAGAAATATATATTTAATAAGTTTTGACAGAAACGCACAGCACTAGCACTGTAGGCGACAAGTCGGTGGATTCTAATTTGGGTCCAAGTTAGTGTCGTTTTAATTTTTTTTTTTTTTTTAATAAAAAGAATTTGGAGACCAGACAAAATCATTTGTATACGTTACATCAATATATTAAAACGTTGACTATATCACCTCACTTATATGTTCCTATTATTGGTATTACAGAAACGAAAAAAACGAAAAAACAATCCAAGAATACAACTACCAGCTTCGCAGAAACTATGAACAAGTTATTAACAGCTACTGCAGAGCCTCATTGCCAAGAAGTATGCATTACTTGATTGAATTCAATCGTTCGTTTAATTTTACCTGTAATAAAATTAATTTTCCAATTTTCAAAAGTCTCCAATTTTATCACGATCAAAAGATATAGAGCGTCGAATAAATGAGGCTAAACTTGAATATAGAGCACGTAGAGCTATAAATATGGAAAAGAAGAAGCTCGCATCCAAAGATCGTGTAAAAACTAATCTCACTTCTATTGATTATGAGTGGAAATTGAGGAAGCTAGCCACTAGAGGAGGTTATATTATATTAAATATTTCGCGTTACTTATTATATATGCTAAGTTAATTATTAACTTTTCTTATTTCAATCATAGTTGTACAACTGTTTAACGCGATCCGTAAATCTCAAAAGGTTACGGATGACGCAGTAAAAGCCGCTGGTGGCGAGATAAAATTAACTACGAGAGATGCAAAAGATGGTAAAAAAATGTTTTATTTTTTGTTTACTAGATTTACACGCATTTATTGTTCATTTGGATTAAATTAATTTTCTATTTTCATTTTCAAGTTGCGAATATGTCTAAGGAAACTTTTCTGGATTTTTTAAAGGGTGGAGATTAAATTAATATTTAATATTATTATAATATAATTGTGCTAATAATATAAATTAGATAATTTATAAAAAATTTTTAGTTTGTTTAAATCGATTCATTGATAGATATATAACAATTCTTTTCGGATTATGTTAGCATAACATGATAAACGCTAACAAAAGCTCTCTTCCAAAAGCAAGTTCAAATGCGCGAAATATATCGATGAACGATACATATTTTTATTAAATTTAAATCGCGTGACCAAAAAAAATAATGCAATTTAGCACTGTCGTGAAGCCTAAATTCATGATTTGGCAAATTATCCACAAATTATTATATCGGAATTTTTTTTTTTGATAATCGTATTTGAAAGATTACAACAACGGATTTGATTTCCAGTCTTTGTAACAACAAGCCACAATCAATCGGTGTAACAGGGTTAAATTGCATAAAAAAAAAAAATTTACACAGTATATTGAGTTCTCTGGAGACACTTTCCTCGCAAAAAAAGACAAAGAAACACGAGCACTTCTTCCAACAAATTTTCTCATATTACAAATGTCTGCTGTTGCAACTGTCCCTTGCCAGGTATGTGTTATTCTGAATTGAAAGTTTTTATAAAATATGCTTTTGGAAGTCAAGGACTTAAGGTTTATGCTTTTATACGGACATTCTGAATTCAGTATAGAACTGGTAAAACGCTAGGTCAAGGCACCTATGCCGTGGTAAAAGGTTAGTGTCTATCGACCGTTTCTCTTCAAGTTGCCTTGGCGCGTTGCTGTTCGGGTCATGTTGGAACTTCGTACTTAAAAAGAAAGCATTCTCTTATACATTATTATTATTATTATTATTTTACTCGCGTCTCTCTTTGTATTGATTTACAGAGGCCCAACATGTACGTATACTTTCCGTTTCTTTCTGTTTATATTGTAATAATTAAAGCATATCGAAAAAAAAAAATTATTTACGAGTACCACCATTATTTGATAAAATACTTATATATCTAAATTATTTATGAAAAAAAAAATTTTTTTTTTTAGATTAAAACAGGGGAATATTTTGCCGTAAAAGTCATCAACAAAAAGTTGATGGAAGGTAGAGAGCATATGGTCCGAAATGAAATCACTGTTTTAAAGAGAATTTCACAAGGGCACAGAAACATTTTAACATTACAAGATTACTTTGAGACCGTAAATAATCGTAAGTCTTTATATCTTTTTTTCATTTTCACTTTTAATTTAATCATTTATTTTATTCGTTCATATGGTACAATTTTTGCTATTCACTTTATTATCTCAATGATAGTTAATCGTCCACATTCTTTTTATTTGGACAGTGTACTTAGTAACGGATTTGGCCCTTGGTGGCGAGCTCTTTGATCGTATTTGTGCGAAGGGTAGCTATTTTGAACGTGACGCGGCTCATCTTGTTAGAAGTATAACAGAAGCTGTTGCGTACTTGCACGACAACGGAATTGTGCACAGAGGTAAAATCGATTTTTTTACTTATCTAATTATTTATTTATGCATTAGCTTACTATTTTTTTTTTTTTTTAAAAAAAAAAATTTTTTATCATCACATTTAAACGGATTATTATATAGATCTTAAGGTAATTTAACGATTAAAACGTACTTAATTTTTATTATTATTATTCTTATTTTAAATTAATATCAACTTTCATCTATTTGTTATAGCCAGAAAATCTTCTTTTTAGAACCAAATCGGAGGATTCCGATCTTCTTATTGCCGATTTTGGTCTTTCTCGGATCATTGATTCTGAAAAATTCCATGTTCTTACCACCACATGTGGTACACCTGGTTATATGGTAAGAAGTTGACGGACTATTTCAAGTCGTAATTATTACAAATTGAAATAATTATTAATACATTGTTTATAGGCACCCGAAATTTTCAAAAGAACTGGTCATGGTAAGCCTGTAGATTTATGGGCTATAGGAGTAATTACATTCTTTTTATTATGTGGATATACGCCATTTGATAGGGAGAGTAGCGTTGCAGAAGTGGAAGCTATTGTTCGAGCTGATTATAAATTCGAACATCCGTACTGGGAAGGGATCAGTGAGACTGGTAAAAATTAAAATTTTAATAATTTGTGGATTCATTAATGTATATGTATATATTAAACATTTCTTTCTCTTTATATATCTATAGCTAAAGATTTTATCAATAAACTATTAAATGTTGATCCTGACAGTCGTCTTACTGCCCATCAAGCTTTGTCTCATCCATGGCTTTCTGAACCTTTACCTAGCCCAACTGGTGGATTTCAAAATAGGGATTTGTTGAATAGTGTTCGCGAAAATTTCAATGCTCGTCGAACATTCAAAAAGGCTGTTGATGCAGTTAAAGTTATTAATAGCCTCAAAAGTCATTCAAGAAGTGCTAGTCTTGCCAACTTATTAGAAACATCAAGAGCTGAAGCAGATGAAGATGTCCAACAGGTTTTGCTTGTCGAGCAATAATGATATTGTGAATGTGTGTATTTGGTAGAGTATGACACATAAAAATTTGGGATGTATTATGTTGGTTAGAGAATTAATGTTGGTTGTTTCGACTCGGTTTTTTTTTGTTGTTTTGGTTTCTTATTTATTTTCAACTTTTGATTCATTTATTTATTTGGCTTTATAATTATTCAACCTTTTATGTTTGTAACATTGAAACCTTTGTATGTTGGTAGTATTTATTTTTATTGTAAATTTGTAAAAAATGAAATGATCACACAATTCAAGATGGAAAGTAAATTGCCCGTTATATTTTTTTTTTGTTTATATTTTAATTTCTTTTCTTTCTATAAATATCGTCATTTTGCCAGAATTGTATCAAAAAAAAATAAATAAAAATACAAACAATTTTCGAGCATTAAACAATTACAACCATTTTTAAAAAATTTTATTATAACTTTAATTTTTTTTTAGAATTTATAAATTAATGAATTGGATTTATAGTTTTGTACTAAAAATAGTACATTTTGTAAAATTCATTAAGAAACCAAAACTTAAT